CTTCCACAACAGGAGGGAGTGCAGTGCCGGATTCGCCCAAAAGTTTTTGTTGAAAGACGGAGCAAGGGGCGTGGCAGTAATGAAACACTGTCTAAGCTGTTCGCCAATCACAGCGCACTGGGACAGCTAACCAATCACAACACATTTCGTTTTTTTCGAAAGGCGGGCCTTCATTAAAACCCAGAACTAATCGAGCCGTTTGTGCCAGGATGGGGAGAAAGGTATTTTAATAATGTAAATTATGTGAAAAATAATGCTTTTTTCGAACCACCAAGCATGAGAGCATGTTCTAGTACACCCCCAAAACAAAATCAAGACTTTGTAAAAGAGCATAATAGGACCCCTTTAAGATTTTTGTGGAGACTGGCTCCAAATTCTTGTATTGATAAAGTTCAAAAGATCAGCATTTATTTTAAACAGATTTTTTTTTTTTGTATCAGTCAAAATCCTTACTGTCACTTTTGATAAATTTAATGCATCCTTGCTGAATCCTAATAATTAAGTGACTTTTGTAGTGTACTTACAATAGGGTTAACAGTATGAGCAGTTGTAATAGTGATGCTTGCAAACACTTCTAAAAATCGGTGAATGTTTGCATTCTCACACTCTTCTGGTTGACTGCACAGGGTTTCTCATGACAATTTTACTCACTATGATTATTTAGTAACCATCTGTCTATATTCATCTGGTGTGGTTTTTTGTCTTGTGTGTCCAAATACTGGGGTTTTTCTGGGCACCTAGTCCAGAAACTTTTTACTTTCCAATATCATCACTGAGAGCGAAAATAGAAAATTGTGAAATCATGCCCCATAATCAGTAACGCACAGCATTTATACAATTCAGAGACTCTGATCAACTTGAATTGAATTGAATTGATCAGCATGTTTTAAAGAGTCTTTTAAAGAAAGTCTCTGAACTTTTGTGGCCTAATTTTATTTTTGTTCAGTTTTGGACCACAATGATCTGATATACATTCAATTAAACTGTTAAAAAGATGGGCACTGGAATGTAGAGAATTTGTCCCACTTGTTGTCCATTTGTTGTGTGTGTGTGTGTGTGTGTGTGTGTTTCTGATTCGTATCCTCCCAGCCTGACAGATGGAGACTCTGTAAAGTGCAGCTATAATACCAAATGTTAGTGCATGAATTCTTCTGTTTGCTGTCCTGAACACACACATCACAGCCTATTCCAATAGCACACACACACAGCTGGCCTATTTGTTAACAGTTGGTGTGACTGTATAATGTATAATTGATATGGCATTGTTCACATTTGTCCATAGAGCTGGAGCCAGACCACATGTCTCTGTACATCTCACACACACACACACACACACACGGTTACAGCGCCCTCGTGAAACTAAACCATGTCCACTGTTAATAAGCCATTTGGGACATTATTTTTTAAGTTGTTTGTGTGTGTTGTGTGAGTGTGTAAATAATGAGCTGGTGTGTAGTTTTGTGTAATGAAGATCAGAGAAGCAATCCATGTGTGTGTAATGGTAATGTTGTGGTTTAATGATATTATTGTATTATGTAGAGCTGATTTATAGCTGAATTGAATGTTTTGTAACTGATAAACTTTGCAACACTTTTATCCTGGTATTAAACTAATAACTCTACATTGAACTAAATTGAGCTAAATAATGACAATTGTCTTCTGTAGAGCTGCTTTATAGTTGAAATTAAAGTCATTTTTATAACTGATTAATTTTGCAACATTGTTATTTTTCTGTTTATTTCTGTGAAGCTGCTTTGCTGCAAAACAGTCTGATTTACTATACAAATAAATGTGACTGTGACTTAATGGTAGGCTGTGCAAATACAGATTGATGTTTGATCCCAGAGTGATGAATTATCTTAAAGGGACAGTACATTAAAAAATCACTATAATACTTTATTCTGTAGAACACGCTGTAAAAAAAAAATATATATATATTTTGAAAAATTTTTTAGTTCTTGTAATGAAAGTCATTGGGATCCAAAAACAACATTGTTTATATTGACAAAAAGAACTGATTCACTCTTTTGTGTTCCACAGAATAAATAATTTTATGTAAGTTAAAGAATAACATGAGGGTGAGTAAATGATAACAGAATTTTCATTTTTGTGTGAACTATTAATGACCCAACACGTATCATAATAATGTTTTACATTTTTACATCATAATTGTCAGGGAGTCATCACAGTCACTTCAGTCACCATCCAGGATAATTACCCGATCACAG